CTTTCCTCTTTCTGTGCCCCCGGAAAACCTTAATGCAAAGTCTTTTTAGCGCCCCAATGGCGGTGTGCAGGCCAGCAGTAACAGGGGAGATCGTGCGCTCGATCCCCAACCAAGTCTGACGTATTTTCTCAAACACATCAAAGTTGGTCTGAAGTTCTTGCATAACTTTCTCTGGTCAGTGGTCACGTTGTTGTTCAGTCGTTTCATTTGTGTCTGACTCTTCAGGACCCCGTTTGGGGAATTCTTGGCAAAGATGCTGGAGTGGTTTGCCTTTTCCTTCTCTAGGTCATTTTATAGATGAGGAAACTGAGGCTAACAGGGTTAAGTGACTTGCCCAGGGTCACGCGGCTAATAAGTGTCTGAGGTCACATTTGAACTCAGATCTTCCTGACTCCAGGCACGATGCTCTTTCCGCTGCACCACCTAGCTAGCTGCCCCAGTGGTCATAAGCAGGTATCAATTGTGAGCCTTACTCTGATAGTGCTCCTTGTAGCAGGAGATCTTGATTGTCAATGTTGCAACTGGAACCTAGAAGGTGTTAGTGTCTTTTCCAGGTTTGTGATGACCTTGTTTAGCAACAGCTCTCTATCTTCACCTTTTCTCTCTAGTTGGCCATTTCTAGTTGGCCAACACTATTGACCCTGTCAATTCCTGGGACATTTTGATAACCTTTCAGTAACATGGAGGAAAGCAGATCATCCATCTGGCTGGACTATGCTGCTTTCTCATTTGCATATGTTCAGGTAGCTTGGAGGAAGCCATCCACCATCATATGTAGGCCACCATTTGAGCTCAGCCTTTCAGTATCGTGGCCACCTGGCCCTTTACACTGCTCACCCAAGGCCAGGTGAGCCATGAGATGTCCATTAAAAACACCTGGGCGGGGGCAGCTAAGTGGCACAGTAGATAGAGCTCCAGCCTTGGAGTCAGGAGGACCTGAGTTCAAATCTGGCCTCAGATACATAACACTCACTAGCTGTGTGACTCTGGGCAAGTCACTTAACCCCAACTGCCTCACCAAAAAAAAAAATACCTGGGCTAAGATGGCTGCTGTGAGGACCCATCAAGAGGTTCATGTGGATACAGCCACCTTAGCCCATGTGCCAGAAGGAGGTTTTTAATAGACACTGTCATACTGAAACTCATA